AATTTTACCTGGTAAAATATAATTTTCATATAGTACTTCTGCAAGGCTATACTCAGTATGATTGTATGAGAATTGGAATAAGAAAGTATTTTAATAAACATTTATTTGTTTTTGCTTTTAACAAAAGATACATATATAATTTATTTGCCATGTTTTTATTTTTATATTTCAAATAAGCATATCTTTGGACTAAAGAGGGATGCATAATTATCACATATTACAGTAAGTCTTACAATGGAGACATTACTGGTACCCACCCGTGCAAATCAATGAACAACGGGAGGACAGTGCTACAGTGCTACATTATTAGTTAGAATGCCCTCTGTTTTGTAAAATCAGATTCAGAAATAGTGAAGAACAGGAGGATAGATTCTGATGGTGGACATATAACATAGGAGCTGAAGCACATAGCTTGCACCTGTCATGTAGCTGACCCAGAGGGCCCTGGTTCACTTCTTTACGTCCCTTATTTAGTGTCACAAGTTGCAGCCCTGAGAGTTCTCTCTGAGCACCTCCTGGGTGGCCCAGGTAACTCCTGGTCCTTCAGGATCCAACTAGCACCACCACTTTTGTTCCTAAGGGGATAGAAGGTCAGAGCACCTTTTAGGGGACCCCACCTTCCCAAAGTACAATCTTTCTTCCATCATATGAGTGTATTAAACTATTATGAGGAATAAAGAAAATTGATTCATGGTTAATAATGTGTGAAAACTATAAATTTAGTTTCGACAACCCCAGCATCACACAAATGTACATTGTCCTCTGGGAACAGAGACATTCAAGATGACACAGGTCAACACAGGCAAAGAGGGTACTCAGTGGGGTCAGTGGGGCCAGGGAGTGCTGTGTGAACCTGAGAAATCTTTTTGCTTTGTACGCAGTTTTCTTACGTATAAAATGAGCAAGAGAAACTAATATATTTGCCGCCATTTGTTGTTTCATGAAGAGCATTAAGTGATTGTAATTGTTCCTTTCTTACTCTAAATTCATCTAGGTAGTGTACCAGTGGTTGGGTTTTAGTTTAATGGCAGAGATATGGAATTGGGACAAAAACTGGTGATAATCTCTCCTCTGTATATGATTAATTATTTCTACTTCGACAACAAAGTTCCCTACTACAGTATGATTCAGTGTACCTTAGGAGATTATTGTGTGTTTGGAAGCAAGATACATTGAAACACAGTTATGAAAATAAAATGAGATCATTGATAACCTGAGAGATCACAATCAATTCTGTTCACTTGTTTCCTACTGGGAATTGGGTGATTTGTTATAAGACGATGTTCTTATCTAGGTGGTGTGCCCTGAGGTAGTATTTTTATTTCTGAAGGGGAATAAAGTAATGTATCTGGAGATTAAAAATGAAAACAGTATTAACTAGATCATTTACAGGAAATGGCCTATAAAGCAATGAGAGAGGCAGGGAGAATGCTACTTTTGCTTCTTTGAAGGAAATATTGGTAACTTTCTTTTCCAGGACTCTTGATAAATGCTACTGACTTACATCCTTGTGGCATCTAGTCAGATCTAGTCAGGTTTAGAATTAGAATGAAACTTTCAGTTTTCTGTGCTCTCCAGTGGAACCAGCAAAACAACTGTGCAGAGAGAGAGAGAGAGAGAGAGAGAGAGAGAGAGAGAGAGAGAGAGAAAGCTACTCCAGACCCACCACATATCGAATTAGTTTTTTAATCATAAAATGAAGAAATAGGAGTACAGGTGAAACCAACTGAGAAAAGAATGTGCCTTAGAGGATTGGCCTTGAGGACCCACTGGAACTGAACAATATTGAAGTCACAATATTGCTTTTAGTGACTATGCTTCCAGAATACCCAGGCAGTTCACTTGTGTTAAAAGAAAAGACAAATATTTCAATTAAACCAAATACGCTGATTTCCTATATGTGTCCTTTATTAAATGACAGTATACTAGTTGCCATGATATATGAAAGTATCTAGGTATATAACTGCCACATAATGATTTTTCCAGTAGTGCTTAGAAACCCTGTGAAGCTAGGATTGAACTGAGTTAGACTGCATGCAACGCATGTGCTTTAATCTCTCTATTATCTCTCTGACCCCTTAATCTTTAAACTCTTGATGAGTTTTATTTAACTTTTCTTTTCCATTTCTTTCTTCTACATAGGCATTGTTTTTCTTTAGCACAGACAGATATTCTTTTGGTATTCAAAAGGCGGAAACACGTGTATTTTGTTTACCTTTCCACAAATGTATTTTTGTTGAACTTTCCTCTTTTTGTCTGCAGCTCTGTAAAATTTAATTGAGCAAACTTATTCATTTTTTTGAACATGAAGATGTTTAAAACATTTTAAATGGTTTCAGGTTAAATAATTAATTTGGAGATACTAGCTATGTAAATTAACAGTATTTATAAAAATGAAAATAAGTGTAATAATGTCTTACTATTTTAGAAATATTAGATTTTAATCATATTTGTGATGTCAGGATTAAGTTTGAACATTGTGAAGAAAAACATTTTCCTTTTCTGTATTTTTCTGTCCAGTTGAATTGCATTTTTATTAGGAATATAAAAATTATTCCACAGCTATGGAAACAAAACAGGTACAAAAGTAGATATATATGTTTTGATCATCTAAAATAATGACTTTTATGAAGCACACACACAAAAAAAGAAATACCGTGTAATTTCAATCTAAAGTAAATGAAATATCTTGTTTCTTAGTGTGTTTGTCTAAAAAGTAATGTGGTCATGGGGAAAGTGTATGTATTGCCAATTGGCTTACTCAATTGGCTTATGACCCTAATTATTTAAATTGAAGTCTGCCTATTCATTCATTAGAAATAGAATGTGTGCGTTTTCATTTTTATTTTGGACACTTGAAATTAAAAATAAGTAAAGTCCCTCCATGATAAATTCTAACACTAAATAAAAATGCAGTTTTCCTGTTCCTAATTTAGAATAGAGAAGCAAGATGCTTATGCACATACTTTGAAATTATCACCTGAAGCAATGACTATTAAGCTGTCTTGTCATGTGCTGCTTGGCTTGCAGTTTTAATGAATGTAGTACTTTGGACTTTGTAGAAACAAGAGCAGATTTCTTGCCTTATAATTTTGGAAGATGCTGCCATTCCAGTTCCTCTTATTTAATTGACTAGGGTCTATCAGAATATATAATGCAGAAATAAGCCTTGTATCAGTGACTTATGGTCAAATTTGAAATTTGTGTGTTTTTGTTATATTAAAAATATGAAAGCTATTGAAAAATTAAATCTGATTGAAAGGACAGAGTAGTTTTTTTTAATTTTCTTTTATTTTAGTTTATAAAAGAGCTTTTTAATGCTATGTTACAATTTGCTAATTCAAAGAACATGTATTTAATTAATCTTATTACAGTAAGCTAGCAATTTTTATTGTTTTTAATATTGGTTAGTTGAAGTGGTCTTCTACATGAAATATTCTTCAGGAGTGATGGATAATAAAGAGATTGACACTTCGATTATTTCAGGCAGATAATATAAGTAGTCTAATGACAGAATGCCAAAATAGAAAGCTAGCATAGGAAATCAGATGCTAAGTAGATTTTATATGCATCTTGAAAGAGGACAGAAGTGAGACTAAATGAAAGAACTAAGGCGTCACATAACACCATAATGTTATTAGGTAAGATAAAATCTTTATAACCCTCTCTTGTGAATTTAAGGAGCTCAGCAGTTTCCTATTATTAGTGTCTTTTACTTATGTCTGATGACAGCTGGAATTTTGAGAGAGGCCATCTGAGCTATATGATTTGTTTACACCCCATGTGAATCCATGTTTTTCACATCTTTGTTCAACAGAATAAAAACTGATCATTATCTATTTAATTTTATCCTATAAAATTTGAGTCTTCACAGTTTGATTTATAAAAGTTGGCGTGGTTTCATTCTCTGTGTGCTTCAGGAGTAAACATAAATATTTAAAACAGAATTATTTTTAGTTCTATATGCACAAATTCCCTATAGTCGAAGGAAATTCCATTAATTTGGAAACACATTCTTCGAGTTCTAATTTGCTTTTTTTTTTCAGGAAGTAGTTGTAGTACTTTGAAATGTCTAGAACTGAAGAGTTTTTTTTTTTTTTAACAGAAGATAGATGGATTTGGATCTGTTGTTGGGCCAAGTAATATTTGGAGACTACATCAATCATACACATATATTTTCTACATCCAGCATATGTTCAGAACTCTTCAAGTCATTATGCATAACATAATACAGTATAATACATTTATCTATTTTAGGCTATGGCAAATATTTTAAATGCATACTCTTTATATTACTAATCTATAATTGTCTCTCTATACCTGTCTATAAGTTTATATTTGTTGATGCAACAATGAGTAAAAGCTAAGTTTTCTAGATTGTAAAAGCTTCTATATAAATTGGTTCAAGAAAATAAAAACATACTACTCATTTTAAACACATTTCTTTCCATTTCCATTACCTGTACTATGTTATTTGCAATATGCCAAAATAAAATAAAGTGTGGATTTATGTGCTACATTTCCTTCCTTCTTTTTTATATTTACTTCTTTTCTCTCTTCGCTGTCTTTGGCAAAAAAGTTGTGTTTCCTTCTTTCTCTTATGTTGTAATACTATTCTTTTTATTCCTTTTTATTCTTTTTATTTCAAACATACATATATATGTGTTTACATATATGTATATATGTATATACTCTCCTTTGATTGCCCGGTGTGTTAATAACCACTTCCACATTAGTTTTATTTCATCTTTTATGAATTGGATTTTTTTCTCTTGGGGAATATTATTCACATCTGTTAAACTTTTAAGCTATGCTAGATATAATGAATAATGCATTATTAATTTGCAGAATTTTGAACGAGAATTTTTTTTCTTCAATAAAAACTTACTACATAGCTACTTTAAATAATATTTCTACATTTGAAAGAGTTTTCTTTAATAATTTCTACTGATTATTTTTTATTAAAAAACTTTCTTGTCTTTCTGTCTTATATTACACAGTGGGAAGAGATTGGTGAAGTTGATGAAAATTATGCTCCCATTCACACATACCAAGTATGCAAAGTTATGGAACAAAATCAGAATAACTGGCTTTTGACCAGTTGGATCTCCAATGAAGGTGCTTCCAGAATATTCATAGAACTCAAGTTTACTCTGCGGGACTGCAACAGCCTTCCTGGAGGACTAGGCACCTGTAAGGAAACTTTTAACATGTATTACTTTGAGTCAGATCATGAGAATGGGAGAAACATTAAAGAAAACCAGTACATCAAAATTGATACCATTGCTGCTGATGAAAGTTTTACTGAACTTGATCTTGGTGACCGTGTCATGAAGCTGAATACAGAGGTTAGAGATGTAGGACCGCTGAGCAAAAAGGGATTTTATCTTGCTTTTCAAGATGTGGGTGCTTGTATTGCTCTAGTTTCAGTGCGTGTGTACTATAAAAAGTGCCCTTCTGTGGTGCGACACTTAGCTGTCTTCCCCGACACCATCACTGGAGCCGATTCTTCGCAACTGCTTGAGGTGTCCGGATCCTGTGTCAATCATTCGGTGACGGATGACCCACCCAAAATGCACTGCAGTGCTGAAGGGGAGTGGCTGGTGCCCATCGGGAAATGCATGTGCCAGGCAGGATATGAAGAGAAAAATGGCACCTGTCAAGGTAAGGGTTTTCCTGCAGTATTTCTGGGACTGTTTGCATCAGTTGGATTAATTTGTGTGAGTGTGTGTGTGTGTATGTGTGTGTGTGTGTTCCCTGCAATGATTAAAAGCAAATATGCAATGGTTAGAAGCAAATGACCTTTTACTTCGCTAATTTATGGAGATCATTTCTCTTCCAGTTCAGTTTCTCTCTTCCCAGAATTTTAAAATTTCTGGCAACAATGGGTTTACTGTAATAGTTTGTTTGCTAAATACAATACACAAAGGTTACTACCTCTTTTGCCATATAATACTTTGTATTTATTTTGCTTTCAGAGAATTTTTTATAGACACCCCAGCCCAAGATATTAGTTGCTTTGCATGGAATTTTCTTTCATATGTTTATTTTCTACTATTCTACATCTATTTTCTCTTCATGAAGTTATTTCGTACTCTTTATTTGCTATATAAAATTCAAATGCGAATCTTAGGACAGATTTGTTTGGAGGTGTTTTTAACTCTCTTGTAAATTTTTCTTTCAGAAGTATATTCAGCCAGTGCTCTCTATAGAAGATTATTGCAAACTTAGGGGACTTAGTTTACTGTGTGGTTTATATATAATTACCATTACAGTCTTGCATTTTAAAATTTACAGGTCAATTTAAAATGCATAATAAGTGGTGCCTAAGAAAATAACTCCAGATAGAGCCAATACAAAAGGTCATTTCAAAGTAATTTGCACTGCGAGTTTTTTTCTGGCTTAATTTTTCTTCTAAATTGAATCTTGACCATGCGTTCTTCCTTCTTCATTTAAAAATACCCTCATTTTGCCTAACAGTGTGGTGAGTAGCACTTCTGAATTTGTATATTTAGTGATGGATCTTGGGAATAGGATAGTAGTATATGTCAAAGTGAAGAACAAATTATGAGGAAAAACTACTTTTCACTTAGAAGAACTATTTATTTGTATGAACTTGAACATGTGCTTTTTGAAATGTCTTAGGCATTAACTAGGTATTGAGAGAAAATATGTGTTAATTGAGAACAAAACCAAATACTGTGATGTCCTATTTTACATAATAGTATAAGAAATATATCCTTTCTACATTCACCTTCTAATGTAAATAAAATATAATGTATAGAAACCAGCTTAGGGTTGTTTTGATTAGACTGGTTATAGAGAAGAATATCATAGAAGAATTATTTATAATGTTAGTGACTTTACTTAATTATTTTCTCCTAGAAACAGAAAACCCCATGTTTAAATGGGTTTCCTTTCTCAGCACCAACTTAAATTTTATCATCCTACCATACCATCTATGGTTGATTTTCCATTTCATCTGAAACACTATACCTGGGCTGGAGCAATAGTACAGCGGGTAGGGCGTTCACCTTACAAGCGGCCAACATGGCCGACCCGAGTTCGATTCCTCCGCCCCTCTCGGAGAGCCCGGCAAGCTACCGAGAGTATTCTATATGCCAGACACAGTAACAAGAAAGTCTCCAATGGAGACGTTACTGGGCCCGCTCGAGCAAATACCTTTAAGTACATAAAATTTTATTATGTTTAAGAATTACTTCTGATTTTTTCTGGGAATTAATCATATTTGATTAGACATCAGATTTTAAAATAAAGTTCCAATATCTTATTCTGTGTTTTTTTGAGCTGTCCTATTTTTGTAAGGTAAGAATAAATGTAATGATAGTAACTGAATGTAGTTCAAAATAATCTGTTAAGTACATTTCAGTATTTTCCCTAAAACATGTACAAAGTAAATTTGATTATTTCTAAACATTTATTAAATATTAGACTAGTTGTTTCTGACTGTTTATACCATGTGAGAAATTATATTTGATACTTTCATTTGAAACAACAAATTTTGCCTTCATTCAGATCAAGGGAGTTTAATAAATCCTGTGTTTTCAGGAACTGAGGAGGTGAGGCTGGATGAATGATTCTTGACTTGCGTGCAGTTTCCTCCCACAAACCTATTTTGAATTCTTGGCTCCACATATGGAGCCCCAAGTGCCATCAATGGTAACTATTGAGCACAGAGTCAGAAATAACCATTGAGCACTTCTGGGTTTCTACCCCAAACCCTCACATCTCCCAAAAGTCCCCCAAATAAAACTTATTGTTGTTCGTTTGTTTTTTTTTTGCGGGGGGGGCACACCAGACTGGACTATGATAAGGGTTTTTTTCTGGCTCTGTGCTCAGAAAACAGTCCTAGGAGTGCTCAAGGGACCTTATTGAGTGCCAGGGATTGAACTCTTGTTGGCTGTATCCAAGGCAAGTTCCCTACTCACTGTATTATTGGTCCAGTCCCTAAACTTCTCATTTTGAAATTACAGTGTATGATGGGCCTCCCAAGCAATGCTCAGAGAATTCAGAGGGATTTCTAGTAGTCTTCAATTGGATCTGTTGGTTTAGTGAACTAGTGTTATGATTCTTAAGATGACCAGAACCAAGCAGATGGTACTTGTGGGTCTCGCAAGGTATGAGGCAGTACTGAAGGGGACTACTGAGTGCTAGGTATGGAACTCAGAGCCTTATATATAAAGACCAAGGCCTTTCAGCTGTCTTCTCAGGTGATAGTTTTAATTTTTTCTGGACTCAAAGACTTCTGTGGGTAAAAAGATCACGGAGTAGAATCTTGGTAAAATTTATTAGTACAGTGTTTAATGTACATCTTCACTTTCTTGTCTTCAATATTTTAATAAACAGGCAATTTATACTGAATTTGGACATAGTATGAACAAGAGAGGCTACAATGTATTACATTTCACTGAATTCAATTAATGTAATCCACCACATAGTGTGAAAAAAGGCCATGTAGCAAAGAAGGATACATGCTATTTAGCTTTGAAGAACTTTTTTCAGAAGTAGTCTTGATGAATATGAGGCTCTTTATTTTTCACATACACAAATGATAGATGGTCATGCTACAAGAAATTTCAAATATTTATTTTATAAATAATTTATCTCATTAAATGACTAACTCAGTGAATAAATAAATGCTGATGCTTTGTGTTGGAGAATTAAGACATTATAGATATCCCTGAGGCATTTCTGTCTCTCTTAATGTATATAAGCAAATATAAATGTATATGTGTCAAGAATTTCCACTATGACTGTAACTCATTCTGTACTCCTAACAAGCTATCTGCAAACCTCTTAGTAGAGGTAGATGCTTTGAAATTATCCATGATAGCTCAGAAATGTTGAAGACAAATTTGATATCTCAAGTTCACCACCCACTTTTAGTCTATCACAAAACATTTATAGAAACGACCTCATAACTATCTCTCAAAGTTATCCACTCTTGCCTATTTTTTCTAATATTTATAGGAATATCATGTTGGAACTTTATTTTCAAATATAACAAGTTACTTATGTATTGCATTTTGATCATGTGAATTTTTCACCTCTACAAAAATACATATCTGTTCTGTTCACACGCTCATGCTCCTCTGTCCCTGCTTCTAATACTCTCCCAACTCCTCGCCCCAATAGTAAATTAACATGTTAATATTTTTATTAATACAGGGATGTTAGAGTTGTATAAGCTTCTGCCTCATTTTCCCATTTTCTTTATGTTCTTTATATTTGTGTATGTATAGATACATGTATACTCTAGTATATGTGTGTGTGCTTATTCATAATATGTTTATGTAGAGACCATATCCAGTGAATCTGTGTCGACCAGATGCCACATGTCATTTCCGTGGGCACTCTGGCCACCCCGGAGGGTACGATGTGTTGCTGAAGATTAACCTGATAGAACACAAGGCCATGCACTAGCTAGACCTGTATTCCATCTGTCAGTGACATGAGCATCTTCCCTGGGTGCTTTAGACACATCTTAATCAATGTTTCTCCTCCTTCCCAAGGCCATGTAATACTGACTGCTTTCACTCTCTCAAAGACAATTTTATCACTTTCACCACTTTTCCTATGAAAACTTTCCTTCCTCAAGACATTCTTCAATCTCTTTTTCTTTTATAAATCATATGAATCTTTCAGACTGTGCTCCTGTACTTCTCTCAAGGAAGTTGTTTTTGCCCTTCAAGACTGGGGTAGGGCTCTTATATTACACATCTCTCCTTCGTAAAATTCATTTAGTAATGATTTTATACCTATTTGCTAATTCAAAGCCTGGCAAGCTACCAGTGACGTATTCGACATGCCAAACACAGTAACAAGTCTCACGATGGAGACGTTACTGAGCCCACTCGAGCAAATCGATGAACAACGGGAGGACAGTGCTACAGTGCTACAGTGCTAATTCATTACTTGACTAATAACTCTCTCACCTCCATGGATGATGGTGGTGGTACTCTATGCTGAGGGATAAATCAAAAGTCAAGAGGCAGAAAAATTATATTTGGACTAAGAAGAAGCAGAGATTGAATGGACATCAATGAAAACTTCACTTTTAAATAGATTTTCACCTTAGTATATAGTTGCAGAAAATCTTCTATCACAGAATTGTCAAATTTACTTTTAAGGCATCATTTTTGGGGGCCTAAATTTTGGACCACAACCAGTCATGCTCCTAGCAGTGCTTGGATCACATTTATGTGATCCTGGGGATCAAAATAGGGTTTTCATGCAGGCAAATACATAACATGCACTATACACCTTTCTTCACTCTAACTGGTTTTGGCAATGACCCACAATCTAAATCTCTTTCCTCCATTTGATATTGTGCTACTTCTTGGTTCTAAATTATCTTTATCAATCCTAATCTTAAGCCAAATTTTGAAGCTTTCTGTACTAAATTCCATATCTTAGTGGTTTTATGGATCTCAGTACATCACATATGAAATTTGCATATAATAAGGCATCATTACATAATTACATTTAATTAATAGTTTTTAAATAATCCACGTGTCTTGGGATTTAATTAAGAAGACTCTATTAAGAAACAGAAGTTCAAATAAATCTGTTTAAATGCCTATTGTGTGCTAATATTTACTGAGTCTGTGCTAGGAGGTAATGGGATAGATCAGATTCTGGTG